TGCATCAGATTTTCCTTGTTCATCGATGATGCTGACCAGCTACTTGAAAGATTGCACATCTTCCAGAGCTTCTCTATAAGGTGGGATTTCGTCGGTGTTCGCTGTGTTGTATTTGAAAACTTTGATTTTTCCCTTGTATATTTTGAGGCCTATAGATACTGGGGTTTTCGCTACACAGTTTTTCATAACCTGCATTTGTTGATGTGTATGGGATAGAAGAGCTAATTGATCTGCGAAGTCTGAATCATCTAGTTGTATCCAGGTTTTCCATTGTATTCCGTGATTCCCCCTCAGATGTCGAGGTCTTCATAATCCAGTCAACCATCAGAAGAAAAAGAAAATGGGAGAGTAGGCATCCTTGTCTGACTCCGTTCCTCACTTGGAATGTGTCTCAGCCGTCCTGCATCCGTGACTTTGGAGTGTAGTCCGTTGTATGAATTCCGTATGATGTTGTTGATTTTCTCAGGCACACCATAGTTTCGAAAAAGGTTCCATAATGTTCTCCTATCCACACTGTCGAATCCTTTCTCATATTCAATAGTATTGATGTTTAGTGAGGATTTCCATTCAACTGATCGTTCAACAATGATCAGTAAAATCTAATAATTATGGTAAATTAATTGTTATGTAGGTAGGTGAATCTAGAAATTTATTCATTTGATAGAGAACTACTAAATACACAGGGAGTACTATAAACCTTTTACACTAATAATAATATGTTCATCAGTGATTAATTTGCAAATGTAATTCCCCGATTTCCAATTAGGCATCATGATCAATGGAACTCCAACCTTCAGAGAATTGAGGCAATTACTAATTAATAATGTTAGCTAATGGTTGTACAATGGTGTGAACTGATTCAATTAAGATATTTAAGCCGCTAGATGGCAACTCATTGGTTTAAAGATTAAATGCTTGTCATACGACCTTATTTATATCTACTTATTTAAACACACAAAAATTGGTTCAAAGAGGCACCAGATATATACGCGCCACACAAATCTCATTTGATTTGTATGAGGGCTGTGATACTGCCCACGTGCCCAAACCGAAACAGGTGGTTTTCTTAGGGGTAAACACCCGGAGCCTTTGACCTTAAGGTCTCATCTACAAGGCAGTGGAGCATCGTGAGTAGATGCAGTCCCATGGTAGCCGGTGACCAACGATTGATTCATACGCCATTTGTTCCCTCAGAGTACTCTAGCCCATGTACACCATTGATTTGGAATCAGTTTTCCAACTGCCCATTGACCCGGTTAAAGCGTCGGACATTCGTTTTTCGTCCTTTCGATTTCGTAAACAACCCTCCTGGCCGGGAGAAGGCAGTGAGTAGGCCATGTGAGAACATTTTGAGAGGGAGAGCGGATTCTTCCAACCGTCGGCCGTACCATGGCATTTGTGGGCAACCTAAAAGCCATCAGTTTGTTCCCTGAAATAGTTATGAATACACACAGCTAAAGAATCCATAACTAGAACAAGGCAGCAGTTCTGCTCTTCCTGGCTTTAAATAGTTATCATGATATCAATAACATTCAACAATCTACACAAACTTTCTATACTATAATGATTGTGTTTCCCAACTGCATAACAGAATACAATGTAAAATTAATACATTTTGATAAGTATTACTCTCGATATTAAACCAGATTATCTTAGTAAGTATATTTTAGTTACATTAATAATAAGTCAATCATAAGTCGTATAGCTAAATGATAATATTTAAAGGTGTCATATTGATTGACATTTATATCAATCTCCCAGAAAAAAATATGTTCTCGTACACCATAATATTAAGTTTTACGCCTATATGAAGAGAAAGAGAGAGATGTTTACGCTGTCATGTGAACAAGAAGTGAATTGCTGGCAAAAATATTAACCACTTTTTTTTCAAATGGAAACAAACATCCATTAACGAAAAAAAAAATTTCTCTTTAATTCATTATATTACTAACTAATGAATACAATTGTAAGTAAAGATGGATAGTGACTAGCAGTTGAATTCAAGACGTACGTTTCATCCTATCCCACTGCCACCTACTATCTATCTTTGCTTATAATGTTTATGAATTAAGACTATATCGAGACAATACGTACAGGATGCATATGTGCCAATTAGAGTTTGACCAGTCTGTAATTCTAAACATCAATGAGATGATTCAAACCAACAGTACTAATTGAATTTAATGTAAACAATTATATATTGTCATAGATAAATATTTATACAAAATTTATTCATTTACAGTAGATTATTTCTGTAAGAAATTAGCTTCAATCTGTTATAACTATTAACATAATATGAATTAATTATGATAAACAAAGACAATTAATCTCTGAAATTTAGTTACTAACCCTTTTTTTGTTATGAAATTACCTCATAAACACTTGTTGTTGTTTACTTGTATCGTCTCATTGATGTTAAGCACTGCAGTCGATCAGTCACTTATTGTCATCCTATGCGGACTGACCCGATATTTCCTGAAGTCATAAGTTTTATAAGTAAAGATGGATAGTTTTTAGCAGTGGATTCCACTTCAGGCAATATCAAGGCAGTCTGTACAGGATGCATATATATCAATAAGAGATTGATCTATTGCAGTTATAAACATTAATGGGAAGATACAAGTATACAACACCAAGTGAATATTCATTCACCCCATTGCATAAGCAAGTGGATATTAGGACTCAGTAGGTAAGTGGATAACGTGATGGCGTTTGAAGCGGACAGTAGTGGATTCGAGTCATCGAGTGAACATCAACTCTGAGATGCAGATACATCCAGCTGATGAGTCCTGAATAGGACGAAACGCGCGTCTTGAATTCCACTTCAAGCCACTATCTATCTTTGCCGACCTCATAAAAATTTAATCATAATATTTATTTCTTATTAAAACAAAACCCTCACAATTGATTGATTACTTGGTGGTGATCAATGTCATGTGTGTCAAGCACTTCTTAGTGCTGATCGAGTGCTATCGATCAATTTGCGATGTGGCCGCCAGTCTAGTTGGCTCGACACTGCGTGCACTATATAGATTGAGGTAAGATGGTGGTTGAAGGTGGTCAACAGGAAACCCTGAACCCGGGTTTCATTCTACTTGGCACTCGTCAGCTAGGTGTACCTGTAATCTTGAGGGAACTGATGCTCCTTGACGGATTCGATCCCGTGTCACTTAGCTTCATAGCCAGATTACAGGTACACCTTGCTGACGAGTGCCAAGTAGCACGAAAGCCGGGTCCAGGGTTCCCTGTTAACCACCTCCAACCACCATCTTATCTCAAAACAAAACCCTATTCATATCAATAATTAATTACAATGTTTATTGTTGAGTATTAAAGGTGAAATGTATTAACAAATAGGAATTAACTCAAAGAAAGACTAAATTACTATTTATATTTAATAGAAAGGATATTGTGACTCAGGACAACAACAAGAGAAAAAACAAAAAGAGATGAAATTAAAATAATTTTTTCCTGCTCATTTCAATTTCCAATTACTTTTGCTTAGTGTTTTGATTGACAATTGTTATGTGTCTTTATGTGTGTGTACGTATGTATGTGGGGGTGTATGTGTACAGATGATTGCTTCCAAAGTGATTGATACTGAAATGGTTTAAAAAAAGATCTAAATAATTATGCAATACAAAAAAACAGTAATACACATACTGTATTGAACAAAACACTTGTTGGGGACAGCCTAATGTATTTAAGCACAAATTAAATACTGTCTCACTAAATTCTGATAACCATACAATGAACAGTTAATTTGCAAATTAACAATCAATTGTCTCCATCTTCACTGTTACTTCTGTAAATATCAGTTCATCTTCTCTAATTTCATTGTTCATCCATTTTCCTACCAACTGTGCTTAATTTCAGTTCTTTCATTATTGGTCTTCTGCCAAAATACATTGTATATCTGCCCATTACCATATACTACTTATATGGATATAAGTAGACCACACTACAATACACACAACATACTTATAAATATACTCATGTTATATACACAATCACACATCTATACAGGTTAATCTCATTGTGTTTATTTGTAAATCAGTGTACTTAAACTTTTCATTGAGTTAAAGTGTATACATGAATTGAAAGTTATCGGAGAATATGGATAGTAATATATGACTGTTTAAAATATAAGATAAAGAATACAGACTTTTTGCAACTTGTCAGTTCCTTTCTTTTTGTTTCTATTCATCAGATCTCTTGCTTTTATGATAAAGATATAGTTCTATTTATTAATTTTATTCACTTCAAGGGTCTTCTTCCAATTTCCTTATTTTTTGTAACTAGTTTCATTTATAGTATCCTTGTAGTACAAGACATTGTCATTATTATCTAAGTATCTAAGTATTTTAAGATTTCACAATGAAAAAAAAGTCAAGATATAACATGAAAAAGCAACAAAGCATGATAATTATAAGCAAAGATGGATAGTGGCTAGCAATTTTTCTTCATTCTTCTCATGTCTGTCTCTATTTGTCGACGTAGTGTGTTCTTTCATCTTCCTCTCCTCTTTTGACATTCAAGATTCCATGTGAGAGTTTTCCTTGTGACGCAGTTAGTTGATTCCCTCAATGTGTATCCTATCCACTTCCAGAGCTTCTTCCTGATTTCTTCCTCCGCTGAATTTTATAAATGTCCCTGTGTTCAATTGATAATTTTCAGAATCAGAAGGGGGTTTTGTGGAGAATTTAGTATTTTTATATTTGAAATCATGAGTCAATTGAAGCCAGACCACCATGAAAAACCTGGAAGCACTGGATGGCCGTTTCGTCCTATTATGGGACTCCTCAGTATTGCGCATCCACGATCCCGTCCCATAATAGGATGAAACGGCCGTCCAGTGCTTCCAGGTTTTCCATGGTGATCTGGCTTCAATTGACTCATGATTTCAACTATGAAAATTTTCGGAATGTTTGAAAAGGTATTTCTGCTAAAGAATTACTATTTTTTCTCATGTTTTTTCTTTTGTTTTTTCTTCTTTTCAGGCTCATCAATTCTATCCATTAGTTCAAATTAATTGTTCAAAAGATTTAAGATTTTTATTATGTTCTATTTATACACCAATATGTATTAAAGGTTATCCACATTTTTTACCACCATGTCGTTCTATATGTCAACGTGTTAAAGCTGGTTGTTCACCAATTATGGAACATTATGAATTTCCATGGCCAGAACGTATGAATTGTGAACAATTTCCAGAATATAATAATCCTCAAGGTATATTATGTATGGAACGTAATTTAACTCATGAAGAACAATTAGAATTACAATCAATTAATATTAAAAATTATCAATCTATTCAATCAATAAATCAATCATCAATAAATCAATTCAATGAATTATCAAACAATATACGAGGAACATCTGATCCCCTAGGAATATCTCATTCCCAAAGAACATCTGATCCCCTAGGAACATCTAATTCCCTAGGAACAAATAATTATGATCAAATTAAAGCATTATCTATAGAAGATATAGAATTAAAGAATCAATTCAATGATGATGCTAGTTATATATTATTTGAAGAAGCAATCAAAAATGATAATATAAGTCAATTAAAAAGTACATTTCCTAATTTACATTTAAAATGTACATGTGATTGTAGACCACCATTAATAAATATTAAAAATTTAGGAATGAATACTCATGAAAAGGTAAGTATAGATGAATCTTCAATGCTTGATAAATATAAATGTCTACTTATGTGACTCACTTATGCCTATCACTCCGAATGGAGCATAGGCCGCTAACCATCATTCTCTAACCCACTCTATCATGGGCCTTCCTTTCTAGTTCTATCCAGTTGTTCTTCATTCTTTTCATATTCGTTTCCTTTTCTCAGCGTAATGTGTTCTTTGGTCTTCTTTCCGTTAGCCTTCAAGATTCCATGTGAGGGTTTGCCTTGTGACGCAGTTGGATGATTTCCTCAATGTGTGTCCTAATGACTTTTAGCGATTCTTCCTGATTTCTTCCTCCACTGAGATTTGGTTTGTTCTCTCCCATAGAAGGTTGTTGATGATAGTGTTTGGCCATATATGTTTGCTTATATAGATAGATTTAAAACTTCTGATGAGAAGTTATGATTGTTAAAGTTAGTCAAATCAAGAATCAGTGAGTAATTCAGCAATCATCTTAGATTTTCATAGTTGAAATCATGAGTCAATTGAAGCTAGACCATCACGGAAAACATGGAAGCACTTGACGGCCGTTTCGTCCTACTATGGGACTCCTCAGTTGTGCGCACTCAAGACCCCACCTCGCGAGATTCCAGCCTAGGACCTATCAGTCTCGCTCACAATCACTTAACCGATGAACCACTAAGTCGGCCGTCATCCGACGGTGTTAATTTCTAACTTCAACCAATCCACGAAATTGAGCAACCATTAACCAATGTCTTCAGTGAGTTGATATCTCCCAACAGATCTGGTTGAACAAATAATTGTCTGGAAAAAGCAGACGTAAACTTATATTATTATTCATTCATTCATATGACATTTTTATTTTAAGCATACTGGCTAGTTAACAGGAACTCTTTACGTTATATTAAAGTATACTGGACAATAAAGATTATTATTTTAAAAAAAATAATAAAGTCGTAATTCGATATATGCACCTAATTAGTAACCATGGAAAAAATTGTTCTCAATCTATCAAATTACTAAAAATATATGTCTTGAGAGTTTACATTAATTTTATAAAGAGGATTAATACAGTAAGGTATTAAGAAGTAAATAATGGTGTTTTATGAAGTAATTTATATAGAACAAACTTGACTATTGGTAAGTATGTCTATTTTTCAATTACTTACTTACTTGCTTGCTTACTTATGCCTCTTACTCCCTATGGAGCATAGGCCACCGGCCAGCATTTGTCAAACCACTCACTCTGTCATTCTCCTTCCTTTCTAGTTCCATCCAATTATTTTTCAAAATTATCAAATCAAAACTTGGTAATGATATCTACTATCCAATTTTTGTTGATTCTTCTCATGTCTGTCTCCATTTGTCGACGCAATGTATCCTTTGGTCTTCCTCTTTTCCTTTGGCCTTCAGGATTCCATGTGAGGGTTTGTCTTGTGACGCTGTTGAGTGCTTTCATTAATGTGTCCAATTCACTTGTTTGTTGTCTCCCACAGTAGCTTGTTGCTGATAGTGTTTGGTCAATGGATCCGAAGTATCTTGAGTAGACATCTGTTAATAAACACTCGTATCTTCTGGATGATGGCTTTCATAGTTCTCCGCGTCTCTGCCCCATCTATTTTTCAATTAATAAAAAAATACAATATTATTTTTATTATTATTAGCTTTATTTAATATCATATTTTTGATATAATATAAAATTCTCAGAACAAAGTATTTCTACAAGCTTTTGTTTTGAACTTCTTGGTCGATCCCGACGATGAATGTTAGGTGATCGCCAACTTGAAGTTATCAGCACGGGAGTCGATATCTGAATAGTATACATTCTTTTTATTGTATATTGTCAACATACACGATGTCCTGATTGGGTTTTTTCGCAACTTTTACAGCGAAAGGTTGTAAACTTTTCATAAACCCACCTTAATAGATTGTGCGATTAATAAACATAATGATGTGTTAAATGAAGCGAAACAGATAACTTGTTCAAATATCTAGAGGGTAGAAACGGGTAGCCCAGAGATTCAAGCAGGTCACCGTACGATTCATGGTACATCGGTAACTTGAAATATGATAACTTCCTTTCATTTGGTTTCAGTTACCTATTAGCAAATAGAATTTGTTTATAGTTGAGTTGAAAACTTTACAGGTGAAATATTGTCAACAGTTGAAATGAATATACAAGTGTATTTCTATCAATAGAATAAAACTGTCAGTTTATTTTAGATACAATGAACTAAATCACCACCAATAGATAAAGAATAAAGTATAGTACTTGTAATTCTACATACATAGATTATTATCAGTATAGGGTTTGAAGAGATTTTAGTAATTTCAATAGTTGAATTCATGAGTTGATGTAAGCTAGACTATCATGGAAAATCAGGAAGCACTGGATGATCGTTTCGTCCTAGTATGGGACTCCTCAGCAGTACGCGTCCATTAGCCCGCACACGTGATTTAAACCCAAGACCTTCGATCTTTCGTGTGAACGCTCAACCTCTAGACCACTAACCCTGCATACAATGATGTTAATGTCTAACTTTTTTCAATCCATGAATAACTACGTAATCATTCAATTATTGTCTGAGGTATATACCTATCTTTACCCGACACGGATTAGACAAAAATATATGAATCATTTACTTTAAAATGTATTAACTATACATTTATCATTTCTATTATTATGTAATACATTAAAGTAAATTAATGTAATACATTTTTAAAAAACATATAACAGAAAGGAAACAAAAACAACAAACACAACAATATAATATCATTGATTATTGAACACTATAGGTGGCCATTATAAACATGAATAACAGCAATTCTAGTAAAGTTAATGAATAATTACTCCTAGTTACAATATTGTATAGATTATAATTTTGTATACATGTGTACATGTACCCTGTTTTGGTATCTAAGTAAATTTTCGTCGTCGTAGAGGAAATCGGACAACAACAACAACAACAACAACAACGAAAAAACCCCCTTTTTCAATGGTGTCTGGTATATTGAAATTACAAATGTATTATTAAATGTACATTGATGATTGGTTGATTGATTGATTGGTAATAATCATCATACTATTTGTTGTATCGAAGAACATTTAATGTAATGTTAGATTAAATTAAATTGAATGACAATGACCATTTGAATTATGAATAAGATTTGTTGATTTAAGTATTAGGATTCAAATAGTTATTTAGTATGCATAAATTACTCCTGCATATATTTACTAATAGTATGAAACGTAATGTTGGGGATTCACTGTTAATGAACATGTAAACTATTGACCCCAAATGCACTGGTACGGCCGAGAATGTGGAGAGTCCGTTCTCCCTCTCGAAATTCTCTTACATGGCCACGCGTATATAGCCTCTACAAGGGAAGTCCTACTCCTGCCCTCTCGTGACATTACTGTTGTTTACGAAATTGAGAGGACGAAAAGCGTATGTCCAGCGCTTTAACCGGGTTGGTGTACACGGAAAGTCCATCTAGGGAAGTTGGAAAACCCTAATTCCAAACCAATGGTGCACATGGGGTCCAGGATTCTGAGGGGACAAATGGAGTATGAATCAATCGTTGGTCATGGGACTGCATCTACTCACGACGCTCCACTGCCTTGTGGATGAGACCTTAAGGTCAAAGGCTCCGGGTGTTTCCCCCTAAGGAAACCACCTGCTTCAGTCTGGGTACCTGGGCAGTATCAAAGCCCTCACACAAATTAAATGAAATTTGTGTGGCACATATATATCTAGTGCCCCTTTGTAACAATATTTATGTGTTCAAATAAATAAATAAATAAATAAAACTATTCTACATCGTTATAAGGAGATTGTGACGATTATTGGATTTTAGTTTTACACCAAAGTCTGACCTTAAGTAGACAATAATTGGAAACAAGGAAGTGCTGATACAATTGTTTCTAAGTAAGAATATAGATGGGTTCTGTTGACTTGTACCAAACCAGAAGTAAACGTCTATGCAATGGTTATCTAGCTCAATTCACTCCATAATATAAAACTACGATATTCTATATGAGTATCATCTTTAAACTTATGGTTATTTTCACCATTGAAATCAAGAACTGATTTTATCTAGCACAACATTGACAATGTGAATATACTGGACAGCCATTCTATCCTAAGGCAGAACTCCTCGAAAGTTCGCACCCACGACACTGCATTCAGAAATCAGACATAGTAACAACAATCTCGCGCACGAGCTCTTATCCTCCATACTACCGAGCCGGTCGGTATCCAACGGTAATAATGTCTAACTTCAACTAATACACTCGATTGAGCGACACATCCACCATTGTCTTCAGTGAGTTACTATCTCAAAACAGAGCCGGCTGAACTCCACTGGTCAATTCTTTTCACTAGAACTCCAGGGAATACCTTTTGAAGGCAGTCACTAGTGAGCACATACTAGGACAAAACAACCATCCAGTGCTTCCAGGTTTTCCATGATTGTCCAACTTCAATTGACTTATGATTTCGACTATGAAAATATTGAAATCTCCACAAAACCCCCCTTCTTATTCACAATTGATTGATCACTGGGTGGTGATCAATGTCATGCGTGTCAAATCCATCTTAATGCTGATCGAATGCTATCTATCAAGTTGCAATGTGGCCACCAGTCTAGGTGGCCAGTCAGAGACGTCTGTGACTGTGAAGCTGAGTAACACGGGATCGAATCCGTCAGGGAGCATCAGTTCCCTCAAGATTACAGGTATACCTTGCTGACGAGTGCCAAGTAGCACGAAACCCGGGTCCAGGGTTTCCTGTTGACCACCTCCAACCACCATCTTACCCCCTTCTTATTATAGAACTTTTTCCTAATTTTATTCAAATAAATTATGTTTACATTTTCTTTTTTATTCTTTTTTATTTTCTTTTCTTTTCTTTATAGATCACCGTGGCTGATATAAAAGATTGTTCAATGCCATGTTATACACCATATTATCCAATGAATTCATCATATCATTTTACAACATTTTGGCTTGGTATCTGGTCAATATTTTGTGCTATATCAACATTGATTACAATATTTACATTCATTATTGATTCATATCGTTTTCAATATCCTGAATTACCATTAATTTATTTATCTTTATGTTATTTTATGATATCCATGGGTTATTTAATTCGTGTATTTATGGGACATCAAGCTATAGCTTGTGATAGTTTACCAAATCAATATGTGAATCTCCAAAATGATCTCACCCAAACTACTATGAATAATAATCATGATTGGTTTGACTACAATCCAAGTAATATACATGAAAATTTAAAAAGTATAACCATTTTCCCAGATACAATAACAACAACAACAACCACAACAGTTGCTAAGGCAACAATGACAACTAATGAATTATCAATGATAACAAGTAAAACAATTTTGAATTTATTAAAATCACCAAATCAATTAATACGTTCAAAAATTTTACGTTATGCATTAAATGGTAGAGCTAGTTGTGCAGTTGTATTTTTATTAATTTATTTTTTTAGTATGGCAGCATCAATATGGTGGGTTATATTAGCATTGACATGGTTATTAGCTGCCGGTTTAAAATGGGGCAGTGAAGCAATATCAAAATATTCTCAGGTAATAAAAAAGATTGTACTTTTTTAGTGTATTTCATTGTTTACAATGTCTAATTGTAAAACCATAGTGATTTATATATAAATAGTGTTTTCTGGTTAAGTTTTTTAGATAGTTAGTTTTCTACGAGATGGGGTCGTTAACCCCATACCTAACCCTTCTCCTTTGTCCGGGCTTAAGACCGGCAGTAGCCCTCGGAGGATCTACAGGCGGAGCCATATATATATATATATATATATATATATATATATATATATACCGGTTGAATAAGTTGGTGGCTATGAGAACTCAGTGGGTTGGAGAATGCTGGTCGGCGGCCTATGCTCCATTGGGAGTAACAGGCGTAAGTAAGTAAGTAAGTATGAGAACTCAGTAGTTCAATGAATAACGCGTTAATCGTTTGAAGTGAAGGTTATTTCATGAAAGTTTTAGTGTGAAAATCAATATTAAAATCCAAGTACATTCAGCTCACGACTTCAAAATAAGACGAAATACTTGTTCTGAATTCCACTGTTAGTTGTATGCCACATATAGGTTATGTATTTAATTCTATTCATGTAAATTACTTTAAGCAGATTGTTTCCTTCTCCTCTTAAAAATGCAGGAGAAACCCCAATAAATTTTAGGTATAGGATAAATCTTACTGAATTTGTATTCCATTTACTTTTCAGTGTCCAATATATGTGCTACCTCTTTTCATTCATTTATTAAGTGAAAACTGCATATAAGAACATAATTTTCACTGAGGATTTCATTTTAAACCATAACTTTTACTTAATTTCCCTTATTTCATCTGAAAAATTAAGTTGCTCTTCAGTAACATATTCATAGGAGACATATGTGAATAATTTAAGATGATCAAATTGAAGTCTTTATCAGAAACTAATCTTTTCTATCCACTAATGATCCATTAAATAGATAGAAAAAGTTTTATATAATTGAAATCATGAGTCAATTAAAGGTAAACCATCATAGAAAACCTGAAAGCACTGGACAGCCGTTTTGTCCTACTGCGGGACCCATCAGTACTGCATATCCGCGATGTCACCTCGCGAGATTTGAACCCAGGACCTTTCAGTTTCACGAATGAACGCTTAACGTCTAGACGCTGAGCCTGTTTTGTTATCCAACGGTGTTAATGATATAGCTTCAATTGATTCACGCTTTCAACTATTCAATAATAATTAAAACAAATCATACTTGAAATTTAATACTTTCCATCGGAATTTACTAATTAATGTGCCAATTATTCTATAGTATCATCATCAATATGAGTTTGTAAAGACTATCAAGCTTTTGATTGATATCATGAATGAATCAAGGTTAGACTACCATTAAGAACCTAAACAGTCCTTTCTTCCTAGTATGAGACTCATCAGCACTGTACATCCACGATCCCGTACATGAAACCCAAACCCAAAAGCTTCAGTCTAGCATGAACTATTGATCTCAAGACCATTCATCCAGATTCAATAAAAGCACTCTCAAATAGTCATTCACTTAAGAGAATAAGAAATAATTACTGATGCTTTTATGTCTGTTTTACCCTTTTTTTCTTCTTTCCTTTTAGGTTTTTCATTTTATTGCATGGTCATTACCAGCAAGTCAAACAGCATTAGCCTTATTATTATCTATTGTAGAAGGTGATCCAATTAGTGGTTTATGTGCAATACAATCTAATAAATCTATACCATTCTTATTATTTACATTTATACCATTATTAATCTATTTAATTATTGGTATCCTATTCATGATGATCGGATTCATTGCCTTATTCCATATACGTGGTACTATTAAATTACAAAGACCCCGTATTATAGAAATCCATAAACTGGATAAATTAATTATACGTATTGGTATCTATGGTATGTTATATACTATACCAAATCTAATTGTATTATTTATCATTGGTTATGAATTACGTAATACATATATATGGCAATTAGGTATTGCATGTCATTGTCATTATGATATTGGTCAATATAATGAAGAATTGGAACCAATTCTACCCGTTGCATTACCCATATGGAAACCCCCGAAACCAGAATATTCTATTTATATGTTAAAACATTTTATGACTTTAATGATTGGTATTATATCAGGTTTTTGGATATGGTCTAATAAAACAATTGATACATGGAGAAGATTTTGTTTTACTGGTAATAAATGTTTATTTCAATTTAATAAACATAATAATAGTAGTAGTTGTAATGGTTTATTAGTTAATCCAAATTGTATTGAACAAGATATATATCATAAAAGACGTATGAAACATTGGATACAAATTCCATCGAATGTTTCCATGGCAACTGTTACAAAGTTAACCGATACACGAATGAAATCAAAATTGAATTCAATGAATAAATATCCTATATTTATTGAGAATAATGAACATTGTAATACAACTGTAATTACTACCACTACTACTACTACTACGACGACGACGACGAAGACGACGATGACGGCGATGTCAAAACAACACAATACCACATCATATGATTTTATCAATAATGGAACATTATCAAATATAAATCCATTACTTGCTTTAAATTCATTATCTACACCATTTTCTACACATTCATATGATGTACCTAATCATGATATACAATATAAATCATCATTTGGTGCATATTATTCTATAGATGGTAGTACCATTTCACAACAATACGGGGATGTAAATTCTTATCATACAAATAATAGTTTTAGTAATAGTATTAATAATAATCATAGTACTGTTGATAATCAATTCATGATAACGAATACAAGAAGTTATGTAACACAATTATCCGGTCATTCAATGAATCCCAGCTTTTCTACATTAAGTAGTAGTTTGAATAGTCCGCACAAATCTTCAATGCTTCATTTAAACAACAACAATAAAAATAACAATAATAGTTTAAATATTGCTAATAACCATAGTTCCATAAGTACAGGAATTTCAAGTAGTGGAATTAGTAGTGGACAACTAAATGATGGTTTAACAAGAACTGGATCAATATTTACTGGATCTGAATTAAATTCTAATTCCATATCAACTAAAAATATAGATTATTATTTAAATGGAGAACAGAGAAGCTTTGAGTTGAATGGATCACAAGCAACGGCAGCGACTACTGCTACTACTCTCTCAGTGGTCAATTATGATCGTTATATTGATGAGAATAATTTAAGACGAAACAACCATTCTATTTGTGTTAATAATCAATTTGTTTCGAATATGATTAATGAAAATCGTAAAAAGTAAGTGAATGTTAACTTTATTCTATGGTTTTTTGTTAGTAGTCATATTCAATAAAAGAAATTGAGAGGACGAAAAGCGAATGTTCGGCGCTTTAACCTGGTTGGTGGGCACTACTAGTCTACCTGAGGGAGTTGGAAAACCCTCATTCCAAACCAATGAAGCACATGGGCTCCAGTATCTTGAGGGAATAAATGACGTATGAATCAATCGTTGGTCACCGGCTACCATGGGACTGCATCTCCTCACGATGCTCCACTGTCTTGTGGATCGAAGGCTCCTGGTGTTGCCCCCTAAGAAAACCACATGGTTCAGTTCGGGCACCTGGGCAGTATCACATCCCTCACACAAATCAAAGAGATTTGTGCGGCGCATACCTATTTGGTGCTTTATTGTACCGATATTTATGTGTTTAAATAAAATAAATAAATACATTCATGGTGGATGTGAGGCAATTGCTCGACATAAGATATTGAAAGATGGTTGCTCAGTGATGCAAACTGAGTATAGTTTGAAATATAGACCATTGAATATCAACTCAATGGTCTTATGGTTAAATATTCGTCAGGAAATCTGAAAATTATGGATTTGATCTCCATTGGAGTAATGGATGATCACTGTTGGGGAGTCACATACCGGGACAAAATAGTCATACCAAGGCTTTCTGGCTTTTATTGTTTGACTAACTATTGTCAGTTAGTGATCTGAACTTTAAACTTACCACTAACACAAACCTCTTGCAGTAAAAGTGTTATTACACAAGGATAAGACAGCCTTTGAGTTGTACAATTTTGGGTCTATAGTTAATATGAAATGCGAACAAATGACATTTTTTTCTTCGCAAACAAAAAATTGCCGTTGCATAGAATAAATTGTATACATCCGTAAAGAGTCTTGCAGGATATGCTACTTCACTGAATTTCAAAGTATGTAGAATACTCAATTTTGACTAATTGTTTTAAAGCTGTCAAATGTGTCATGCTACTTGTAGGATGTAGTTTTATTAATATACAAGATTGTACGGCATGGATTAGTAGAGATTCTTCAAGTAAGAGCAAAATAGTTGTCCAGGATTTCATTATCCTTAATATTTCCTCAAATGATATCGATTTGTAATAGACAATGTATTCACCTTCGCATGCAGTTCTATAAACTTGAATCAAACTAATTTTCTAATGATCCATTTGTAAATAGAGTTTAATACCAATAACGATACCACTTGTAATTAATTCGTAATAGTTATCTGAGTAGCATTGAAATTCAAGGAATTCGACTTGTCCATATAGACTTATCTGCTGGGTCCACTAAGCCACTAACTTGTTAAGTAGATATGAATGATAATAAGATTTAAATTTCTTGAATAACTTAATCTGAGTAGACAAAGATGGATAGTGGCTGGCAGTGGAATCCAGGACGCGCGTTTCGTCTTATTTGGAACTCGTCAACTAGATGTACCTGCATCTGAGTTGATGTTCACTTTGGAACTCGAACCCAGTACCGTTCACTTCAAATGCTATCGCGCTATCCACTTAGCTACTGAGTCCTGATAGCCACTTGCTTGTGCGATGGGGTGAAGTTTAAATTCATTTAATGTTGTTTACGCGCGTCTTGGATTCTACTGTTAGCCACTATCCATATTTGCTTATAAAGCTTGTGACTTCAGGCACTATCGAGACAGTCCACACAGGATGTACATATACCAACAAGAGACTGATCAATTGCAGTCCTAAATAGCAATGGGAAGATACAAGTACACAACACCAAGTGAATTTACTCTGAGTAGATTGTAGAAACGTAAAATATACGAGTAAAAAGTGGTAGAAAAAGATTAATCTACATGGAATTCTTCTTTCAGTATACAACATTCAATCATAAAGGATTAATGTTTAAAAAATATCAAATTAAATGAATTTATCTACCAGGTACTTGAATATGAGCTACAATCTTAGTCTAAAGGCTAATCATACTACTACTCGGTTACTCGAACTAAGATAGGTAGATTGAGATTCGACTCTAGGACTTAATGATTAAAAGGTGAACGCTTCAACTATTTGATTCACCTCTTTTTTTTTTCTCATTTTACTAATCCCTTTAGCTGAAAATAAATTGAGGATGTAATCTTCCTCCTCAGAAAGTATAAATAACCTGAAAATAATTATAGTTAAGTTCAACAGAAATTTGTTAGTAAAAAAGTGTTCATTTTTTATTAACATGGAATGATACTGTAAATTGTGCAATATAACTAAAATTTGCAGCACAAAAAGTACAGGCGACCATGCCAAAGATCGAATTCATGACTAACATTTCCGTAACTAGGTATGAACAGTTAAGATGTCCCATACTGAAACATTAAAAACACAAAGTTCAGAGAAGAGGCCACTTCTTATTCTTTAGCTGTAGAATCGTATACATATATATATGAAATTTTTTTGTTAAGGTAGAGGTACGAGCACCTCTATTACCTCTAATTACCTAAAATTATTATAACACAAACATTTGAATCATCTTACTACATTCACGTTATAATTCATTACTAACTTAGTAAGTCTTTTGTCATTATTTACACTACGTAATTTAGTATTATAATCTTCCTATTACATCATCTTCGTTATTCCTTGTTCACATTTCCTCACAAAACTAGTACCTTAACAAAGAAGTTTCATACGTATATACGATTATACAGCTAAATAATAGAAGAGGATCCCTTCTCTGAATTTCGTGTTTTTAATTATTTAATATTTTCCATGGATGATGTAGGCTGTTTTTTTTTCCAGCTTCGTTTCTCATTCACAAAATAATAGTAGTATGAAATTATAATTTGATCTTAATGTGATCTACCCAACTATGAAAGTTCTAAAAATGGAAGTTTCTAATTTTCTGAATAGTAATAATAGTTGAAATCATAGGTCAATTGAAGCTAGACAACCATAGAAAACCTGGAAGCACTAGACGACCGTTTCGTCGTATTATGGGACTCCTCAGCAGTGTGCATCCACAATCCTGCCTCACGAGATTCGAACCTAGGACCTATCAGTCTAGCTTCAATTGACTCATAATTTCAACTAAGAAAAAAAAAAGAAATCTCCACAAAACCCCTTTTGATAATAATAATAATAATAATTTACAAGTAAAGGGTAAATGAATGAAAAAAAACAACCGGAAATTTTTAAGGATTGACTTCTCTTGACAATAACAATTAACTGTTCATATAGATTTCATTACCACTTTCTATAAAATTGATAATTAAAAAGAAAAAGAAAAAAAAAGTTGTAAACTAACACACATTACTCTACAGTTGAAAGAAAAGAGACCAAGAATGTTAATGTGTGTGTGTGTGTTGGCATGTGTAAATAGTGAATGGGAGAAAAAATTGTTCAGTAACTAACATGGAAGTTACTACGTAATGAAACAAGTTCTTTTTCTAAAATGAATTACAAAGGGAAATGATCACTTGACCAGATGATTTACTTATTCATTTGAATTGATTGATAGTAAAGACAAGAGAATCATGCCAATGGTAATACTACACTATTACTATAATAATAAACATAATTTCAAGTAAAGGAAATGGGAATTTATTGTTTAGACATTCAGACAATTAGGTTGTATGTGTGTAACTTTTTCACACACACACACACACAGATAAACACACTTACATATACTATCTGACTCTCCTTGAAGAAAGAAAACAGTAAATACTACTGTAGTGTGGTCTACTTATATTCATATAAGTAGTATATGACAATGGTTAGACATAGAATGTATTTTGGCAGAAGAACGATAAGGAAAGAATTGAAATGAAGTGAAATTGGTAGAAAAATGCATGAACAATGAAATTATAGAAGATGAACTGAAGAAGGAACAGTGAAGATTGAGACAATTGGTTGTTAGTTTGCAAATTAACTGTTCATTATATGGTTATCAGAATTTAGTGGGATAGTCTGTAATTTTGTGCTCAAATACATTCAATTGTCCCCGATCGTGTTCTTGTTCACTACACTACTACTGGATAATTAATGGAAGTAGTAATATTGAATGTGTCATTTTTAAGTGGGTTTTTTTCTCTGAACTGGATGGTTTAGTTTTGAAGGTTTCATTGATCTTCTGAACAACAACATCAGTACAAACTCCAGGTAGAGGTGATGTTTTCGAATTTCTATACATATGACTCAAAGCTTCTTCTGTCGACCTCAATCTAGATTGAATATTGTTTACTTTTAATCTGTCAATTTTTACTGCTTTATCTTCATTGTATCTCCCATTGATTTGACTCGTGGTTCTATATTTGTTCATGATTATTCTGATTGGTTGATAGATTGAACTGACTTCAATGTGTTAGTGTCAAGCTTCCGAAAATTCCCTGATGCTTTCATTCTTCCCTCCATCCAAGATCTCAACATTGTTCCAGTCGAATGTATGTCCACAGTTGTCCACATGTATTGATATAAACGAGAATATGTGATGGCGTTTGACCATTAATTGATGTTCGTACAAGCGAAGACGATGGGGGAGTCTACTTTGTCCGATGTAGTGTTTTTAGAACTGGGAACAATTTATTTTATAGATTATGTTCGATTTTTCTTCTTTTTTCATTTCGTCCTTTGGTTTGCAAAGAATTGATTGAAGTGATTTTGTTGGTTTGTGTGCTACACTTATTCCAGATGGTTACAATCATCTCGTTGTAATTTCTGATATGTTCTTTACGTGTGGTAGGATGATCCTTTTGTTGGTCTCCGTACTTGATTTTGTTTCTACCGATGAGTTGGGTTGATATTTTTTGATAAAGTCGTTTTTTGGGAAATAGATATCCTCCCTACTTTTCTACACTGAGTGTTGTAGTGTGTCCATTTTCTCAAGAATTATAATTTTTGTCGGAAAGGGGGTTTTGTGAAAATCGCAGTAATTTTATAGCTGAATTTATGAGTCAATTTAAGCCAGACCACTATTGGAAAACTGAAAGCACTAGACGACCGTTTCGCCTTAGTATGGGACTCATAAACAGCACATCCACGATCTCATTCGCGGAATTCATAACCCGGACCTTCGATCTCACACGCGAATGCTTAAACTCTAGACTACTAAGCCGGCCGGCATCCAATGATGTTAATGTCTAAATTCAAACAATCTACGAAACTGATCCACCGTCCATCATTGTCTTCAGTGATTTACTGCATTGTAACAAACACGGTTGAACTCTAATGGTCACTGCTTCTCAACAGAATTCTAGGAAACACTACTTCAAACCAGTCACTAGTGAGCACACGATGATTATTATCAGAAAGAGGGGTTTTGTGGAGATTGTAGTAATTTAATAGTTTCATGGATTGATTGAAGTTAGACAATAGCATAGTTGGATGCCCGCTCAGTAGTCTGAAGGTTAGGTGTCAGCACGCGAGACTGAATGTCCTGAGTTTGAACCTCGCGGGCGGGATCGACAAACTTCTACCTGAAGTTTGTGTTGAAGATGTCGTTCTGAAAAACGATAAAAACTGCATGACCAAACCGTCCAGCTCAAAGAACAAAACTCTACCAAAGTCGTTCACCTGAGCTACAAATCTCTATCATCTCATTATCCCATGTTCTTCCTATGAAAACCCTTTTTAAAACACTTGTTGTAATCACTTGTGACTGTATTTGACCTATATTTCATGCAAATATATAATTCCATGTTGCTTCTTTTTCAAATTTTTTTTTGTAGCAACTTATCGTTGGTACAATAAACTAATGGATATTGAACTTGCTTTAGAATCTCTTCGGCAACAAACTATGCAACAATTAGATAACATCGCCATCATCATCTTTCAAATAGTCGAATCGGCTTCAAATGTTTTGATTTAATAATGGGCAGATACATATCATATGCGTAAATTTACATACCAAAGATAATATGCATGATTGAATGCTTATATTATTGACTTGTACAATAAACGGAGGCCATAAATGTGCCTTGAATATATGTATCCTTCGTATTTCTTCATATATAGGCCTATATTCATATGATTTCTTCCATTTTAATGAGTTTCATAAATGTAATGTGTAAACTATCGGATAATGATAATAATTTGCTGAATATGGTTTACAACTGCTCCACATCTAATAGTAATATTCATTTTACATACCAATGACTTCATTTGTTCAATATTTAACATATATGACAATCTAACATGGGTTTTTTATTTGTAAATATATTTTCATTTTTTTTAGTTGCACTATTTCATTTGAATAACTTAAATGTTCATGATTATTCCGAACATGGTTGAACATTTACTGATTAGGTTTATACTACTATTATGTTTTTCAGTAGACAAAATGTTAGACAAAATAAAACTCGAGGTCGATACTGAAGATTGTACTGGTAACATAAACCGATCAGGATTAGATCACTATTGATAATCTGGAAGCACTCATTGGCTAATTTGTTCTAGTATGGGACTCCTCAGTAGTGTTTGTCCACGATCCTGATTCTCAAACCCAGGACCTTCATTCTCGCTCGCGAACACGTAACCTGTAAACCATTGAGCTAAGATTCATGTATTTCATATACATAAACATAAACAATGGGTAACACGTCAAGATTTGAAAGTCTCGAAGAGTGAACTCTGAGTAGTCCAATAACCATCAAAGATTTCTTGGTTAGGTTACACCTACTACCTAACTGTGTCACGAGGAACATTTGAGTCGGATTTTACTGCCTGAACTGCTCCTGCTGGAACTAAATCCTTTTTTACTGGATCCGAATTGCTAGTGGGTCATTATATAGTTATCAGCGCTTTGAATAATGCTAGTAATTAGGAAATATTGCATGTGTAGATTGATTCGAACGAAAAAATACTACGGATCACATGAATTAAATACCAGATTGTAACATAGCATAAATGAGAAATCGTACATTAAATGTCTTCATAAAATAAGTGGCACAGAATGGAATAAACAGTACATTATTAAATAGATGTTAGTAAATGATTATCTGGCGTATAACGTGTTAATATATCACGCCTACTTTAGACAACGAATATCAACAATTAACTAGAATGCGTTCTGGGTGTTACCTTTCAGAAACACCCATATCGTTTAATAATGATGAGGTTGTTGAAGAGTAGTTCATGTTCAGAAAACCAAAACAGAAATGAATATTAAAATACGAATATAGTAGGGTACTGAAACAATCAGTGAGACAAGAGAATATAATAATAGGATCGGTGCTATGAAACGATTAAGTACACCATTATATTTTCTGTATAAGTATCGGATTACTGATAAATAACAAGTAGTATAATAGCAAAAACATCAAAGTCGGAAAACAATGAACAGCCTTCATGTTAATCATGAAATGCAAAGTTAAGAATAAATGTAAATCTAGCATGAAATGAAATGATGTTTAAATGAAGTAAGGTATAGAACAATACTCACTAAAAACCGTTCAGCAGGTTTAATCTATAAAGTTATCGTTTATGTGTAATAAAGTTTCAAAAAGCCAACTGAATTTTGTGTAATTAGTTACATATTTCTTAAAACGCATTTAATTAGAAGTTATAGTTGAGTCAACAGATAATATGAGGAGTCCAATAATAGGACGAAATGGCCGTCCAGTGCTTCCAGGTTTTTCATGGTGGTCGAGCTTCAAATGACTCACGCTTTCAACTACGAACATACTAAATCTCCACAAAACCCCTTCTGATAATATGTATATAAGACTAGTAAAACTTCAGGAAATGTTTCATTATTTCGAACAGGAACAAAGGAAAACCATTGTGAATACCAATAGATGTTTACTTCAATCCATGAAACCTGTTAACTTATCTAGTCTGTTATTCAAGCGAACTGACACTACTCATGTTACCAATGTGGTAGTGTAAGAGTCAATTTTCAAGATGTTATTTAACTGCCGTACCAAATTATAGCTGAGTTTAAGGATTGAGTTTTTCATCAATTTCATAAACTTACACTCTTAAATAATTTGGTCTAATTAATTACAATCTCAAAAATCCACTAAGTTTTAACTACGATATTTAGGAAATAAAGTAATGTCCAGTGTTTTAATGATCCAGACTGCCGCGTTTTCCCGACTAACCAACATATTTCTTATGATAGAAGTCTGTTAACAATGAGAAACGAATTGGAGTTAATAACATTAACATACTATGCAAATGTAAGTAGTAAGTTATAAAACACCTATTAGCCCGATTCAAGAAACGTTTAGCAGTTCTACCCAAAAAACTGAATTGTGCATGAAATCGTGAAGCTAAAAAATAAAAAGTTGGTTTGGTAATTCATCACTACCGTAGACCATCAACGTTGATGATCTATGTCGAATGATTGGAGGCCTACTCAAGTTAGACGGGAACGGTGTAACAAACAAGCTTACTTCGAAGTCCCACCTCGCGATCAGCACCTTACGCGGATTGCCCCATCGACATATCAAGGGACCATAGATGCTTTGGAGACTGTACAACACAAAGGACGCTATTATAGAAATTTATTAGTTAAAGTAGATAGAAGAGAAAGTAGAACCACTGCTGCATGGTCTAGTCCATGGTGTATGATTAACTGATGTGCATTGATTGTCCTTGACCTTTACGGGGATCGATGATCTGTTCGATATTTAGTGACCCCAATGGCCCTACACTACAATAGCAAATGGAAGGTACATAAGAAATTTAAAAGTTTTTGAATTGCAAGTTTCGCTCATGTCAACTGAATTGCCATAACACAATGAAAGAAAATGTACTTTCTTTGAATGAAACAATTAAAAGAGATTCGCCATCTGAATTAACCAAGATAAATTACTCAGTGTGTTCCAAAATTGAGTAACCTGTTCAAAACAAACAAAATTTAAAACAGTGAACCATATGAGAAGGATCAAACAACAAAAGGATACATAAATGATACTGCAGGCGGAAGTGATAATTGATGCAATAAACTAATGGTAGAAATGGATAAGTTTATCTGAGACATATTTCAAGCAATACTAATCACCTATATTCGTTTGTACCCAACTCTATATAAGTTCACTAAAATGTCTAAATATTTCAAACTACTGAACATCAATAAGTAGTGTGGCGTAAAATACAAAATGAAAAGACTTAATGTTATATCTTTGTGAAGTAATAAGTACGGATAACTTCCGGGACCTATTAATGGACGATTATTCTGTCTATATTTTTATGGTTTAACTATTGAGTAACTAGATTGTGTAGATCTATATCCATCTTTTTATGAGCTTCATTTGACGTATGAATTATTAATGCACGATTTACTGTTCCTAAATTATGCTCAGTTTATTAATTATTGTCTACCACGTTCTCAGCCACATTTGGCTTGATCTTGTACAAATATTATTTTCTATTTTATGGTATGAACGTCACTGATTTGTCACAGTGTTAAGATCGGAAAAGGCATATTTCGATTGGTGGATAATTCACGTGATAAAAAGCCGGACATAAGATTAATAACGAATTAGCACACGTCCTTTATTTCAATTGTAGGTGCGTGTTGACTAGCTAAGTAACCTACCCAGAGAATTGAAGTGATACAAGATTATTATTGTAATTATATTTCATGAAATTATTTACTCAGTGTATTTCTTTTAAGAACCGACTACACTGAGCACACAACTGTCTAGATAAGATATAATCTTATCAATGATAATCAACTTGACTCAACAAATGGTCGCCAATAACTCTTAAAATATCTACGTTATTGGAATACTTGAATTGTTGTGTAAAAGGCTTTATTCTCATTAGTAATGTGATTACTTGTTTCTACCATTTGAATGATCTCACTACATCACGAATTGACTAACTCTGAAAATGTGACATATATTAAATTCTGACAAAGTAGTTTAAAGGTTGGATGCTCCATAAAATATCGAAAGACTTAATGTCTGGTAAAGTCCTAGGTATCCATAACTTCAGAGTCGTATACTATGACAAAACTAATATCCAGTACTTCTTTACTGTTAGTGGTAACCTAATTAGTCTAATCTCGTGACCAATATCATCCGCGAATAACGTTGATTATTAATTAAGCTTCATTTAAGTGATGAAAGTATAATGGAAATTTACTTACTTACTTACGCCTGTTACTCCCAGTGGAGCATAGGCCGCCGACCAGCATTCTCCAAACCACTCTGTCTTTAGCCTTCCGTTCTAGTTCTATCAAATTTTGTTGTATAATGGAAAGGAATATTAAATTATTTCACAAACTGGATGTTTACCATTATGTTAAACATTAAATCAACCAAGGTAAATTAAAAGATTCAATATACTAGCGATTATGTAAGTCTTATTTGTATTATTTTTGTCGTGAAAGACTCGAAGTCTGATTTATTCACGAAAAAAGACTATCGATAAACAATTCTGAAGAAAATATAAACCTAAGAATCCTTGTTGTCTCTTTTATTTAGATTTATATTATCACAGTCTACTTTTGAAAGTTGCTCTGTTATAAAAAGTCTTTAAAGAAAAAACACTGAACAGCTCTTTTTGAGGAAGTATTCTAACAGAAAGTGATCTGAAACTATTTAAAATTAGTTCTGAAATTAAAATATAGACTGCTGAGAAGTCCCACACTTCTTTGTTTGTTTATTTAAACACATAAATATTGGTACAAAGGGGTACCAGATAAATATGCGCTACACAAATCTCATTTCATTTGTGTGAGGGCTGTGATACTGTCCAGGTGCCCAAACTGAAGCAGGTGGTTTCCTTAGGGGGCCACACCCGGAGCCTTTGACTTAAAGATCCGATCCACAAGGCAATGGAGCATCATGAGGATATTCAGTCCCATGGTAGCCGGTGACCAACGATTGATTCATAGGCCATTTTTCCTTCAGGATACTGGAGCCAATGCGCACTATTGGTTTGGAATCAAGGTTTTTCAACTGCCCTTGGTTGACTTTCCGTGTCCACCAACCCGGGTAAAGCGTTGGACATTCGCTTTTCGTCCTTTCAATTTCGTAAACAACAGTAATGCCACGAGAAGGTAGTGAGCAGGATTTCCCTTGCAGAGGATGTATATGCGTGTCCATATGAGAGCATTTGGAGAGGGAGAGCAAATTCTTCGCATATACTAGGATAAAACGACCATCCGGTGCTTCCAAGTTTTCGATGTTGGTCTAACTTTAATCAACTCATGAATTCAACTATTAAAAATTAATACAATCCATAAAAAAATTTACTTCAACCTTTACTATGGTCAACTT